CATACATGAAACTATTCAAGTATTACTCATTTTCACTAGTCAATAAAACGTTCAGATCTACTTATATTAGAAGCACATAAAAACACCAGACACCATTTCTTTTCTGGGCAGCAAAAAGACAATTCCATGCAAGTATCTCTGGGACACCTCTTTTAATTTCACGGGACCACCGGGATCTCATCTTTTCAGGCTGTACTGTGATTTTGTGAATAAACACTTTCCGAATAAGTGGCTCTTTCATTGTGCTGCCACCAGAAAATTCTTTGTGAGAGAAAGTGCAGATATCAGGTGATCATTTTCAATGTATCAAAGAGGGCAGCTGCAAAGAGGTAAACAGAAACCATAGCTATCATCAAATAACAGCAACCCCAGGAAGCCTTTTTCTCTCATTCAGCAGGAGCTATGGGCCCAATTTCACAGGCTGCACTGTGGCTGAATGGGAAGAAATTGGAAAAAAAAAAAGTGAAATCGATTGCTAAGATTGCAGTTGTACTTTTATTTGTCTCTCCCTCTGTCATTTTACAGTGTTTTGCAGTGTTAGGGTGCATTTCCAGACTGCACAGCTCTTGTAATGGCACTGCAGTACAGGCATTTCCTTTAGTTTAGTTTTACCCGGGATTTCTCCATCTGTGTAAAGCTTAAGGCATGAGCTGTTTCTACATATGTACACCTTTTGCTTGGTTATCGATTAAAAATCTTTATAAAAATAGAAACGTTTTTTAAAAATGAGGGCCTTGTGTTTCCTCTGACATTATCTTGGTGTTAATAACCTAGGTGTTGTCTTGGTGTTTGCTGCAGGACAGAGACAGTAAGACAGTGACACGCTTCGTATAATAAGGTTAGCTAAAATTTAATTTTAAATTAATGTGGTTAAGAAATAAAGTGTTGACTCTCAATTCAAGGTTATGAAACAGTGTTTTAATTAATCTTAGAAAAAATGAACACCATTCTGTGTAGCTCCTCTTTCTACATGACTGGTCCATTATAGTCCAACTGATCCACAATAGCAAGAAGTGCACCAGTTTATTTATGATTCATGTATATAGTTTATACAGTCCTCATCACACTGCTTGTAGGATTGATTTCTGGTCCCCACATGATTTGTTGCACCCCGCTGTTTCCTGTCTTTTTCAAGCTGACCCATCAAAATAAAGGCTAAAAAGTCCAAAATGTAATGCCTAAGACACCAAGAGCAGGAAAGCAGGAGAAACAGGGACCACAACCATGGGACCTTTGTTGCATTTAATCTCCTAACAGCTTGTTTTTTTAAACAATGAATGCTTAACCAACTTGGGATACATGAGGAAACTCACCCCAATAAATTTTTTGCCAACCCTGTCTTGATGGAGAAGTCTCTGTGGCTTGTATCAATAGTTCTGCAATATACATGATGGGAAATCAATAGAACTGTGAAGAAGTGTGATCACCTATAGATACTTTTATTTCTCTCTTAACATGGTCAGTTCTGCAGTTCACCCTTATTTCTGTTTGTTTAATAATGAAAAAGGAGGAGTGATATATAGATAATAGTATAGAACAGATAGTGATGCTCTAACATAATTAGGACTTTAATGAATACAAGTAATTCACACTATTGCTGTTTTGTCCCCTAAGTGCAGCTGACCAGATTCTATTCCATATATATATGGGATTTTAAATTTCTCCCATTGTGATTCTGAGGGTCAGTGGTGATTCAAACAGTGTGGGCAACTTAAATATTTGCTTCACTACCATATTTCTGGTCTGGGTCTTAACCCCCCCCCCTCTGTTGTTATCTCTGCAGAGCACAAAGTACAAAGTCTACAAAACTTAGTTTGAGGTTTATGTTGGCTTCTAAAACTGCAGAAATACTAAGTTTATTCATTTCATATAGTGTGTCACTGTGGTTCATAGTTGGCTTGTGTTTTCTGAAGGAAATGTAGGCCTTCTGCTGACATATTAATTGTTTGGATATAGATTATATATATATTCCTAGGAGATGTTTGATATATAGTAAGAGCTGTTATACTGACATCAAAAATCAACTTACAGAGCAGTTTTATGAATAGTTTTACAGTTACAAAAGGATAGTATACTCATATTGTAATCATTACTTTTCTCTGTGCTAAGTACAAAAAATGCTTATTTTATCATTCTAAGGTCAGCAGTATGAAATTATATTATTAAATACCTGGAAAATTTGCTCACTATTTTGAAGAAAGATTTGTCTCAAGAGACAGATTCGTTAACACAGTGATTTACATCAAGTCCTCCTGGGAAGACCAGTTCTCCCAGCCATTTTGCCCCCCGCCATTATGTCTCTCTTTGATTTAATGACAGAAAATTCTTTAAGGGAAGTGGTCTTCAAACTGCAATATTCACCATGTGCAACAGATTCTGTTCCCACCAAATTGTTTAAAACTCGCTTCCAGGCTTATACACCTTATAAACACCTAATCTCGGCCCCTATACAATAATGCCTTGGGGCTTTATTATTGTAGATTGAAGAGTTGTAAGACTAAGTACATATCAAAACGAGCTGTTTGAGCAGGATCCATGTGCTATTACTTTTCTCCAATGTAAAAGATTTTTTTGCAGCGTAAGTTGTGAAAAACTATGGAAAATTTTATATTGAGGTCAATGGGACAGGCCTAAAAAAGAGAAAGTATTTGAGTTTTTCAACTGCTACTGCTCAAGGTTGTTTTTTTTTATGTATAAATAAGTACTTGAAAAAAGAATTTCAGTTGTAGTTGTGGTTCTTGTATATAATATCACAACTCTACGAGGGAATTTTCTAGTTGAGCTGAGCAGTAGAAATCTAACCAAGCACCCTTTAACTTTAAATAATAAACAAATTATTTTCTAAGAAGATTTCAGCTTTAGCTGGTGATTTTCAATGATTTTTGATTATTTAAACTCATATCAAGCCACCTTTTATTTACAAGCCCATTTAGAGGAGGGTGGGGTAAGATGAGCCATTTTTCATATTTTGGATCACTACATCAAGGCAATCATAGTTTTGTCTCTAACTAGTGTGTCTGCATGTCTTTCAAGATGCTGTTCATCCCTGCAAACCAACAAAATGAGTGTAAACATAATTGTCTTGATAATATAGCATGACAAAAAAAGTGGTCTCCTGTGGTCAACTTACCGCGTGTATGGGGTAAGTTGAACATAGGGGCGGGGTAAGTTGAGCCATATCACTACTACCTCCCACTCTCCACCCCAGCCTTCTCTTACTGTCTCTCTCCCTAAATAACAGTCACTTCTTCACATTCATGATGTCTGTCAGATTGTTACTTTAAATGAGAAATTAGTTGAACGAGTTTCTGTCTACAAATACCCGGGATTTCACTTGGAAGAAAATTTGTCCTTTAGGCACCATATTGAATTTCTTACAAAGAAACTCCAGGTGAAACTGGGTTTCTTCCATAGAAACAAGGGTTGTTTCTCCTTTGGTGCAAGAAAAAGGCTTATACAGGCTACATACTTGATTATGGTGACTTCTTATATATGCATGAAAACCTCTCTTCTTTAAAAATGCTGGATTCAGTGTATCATGCGGCATTAAGATTTGTAACTGGCTTAGATTTTCGTACTCATCACTGCAGCTTATATGAGAGTGTTGGGTGGTCCTCTCTGCAAAATCGTAGATTGGAACATTGGTATATCTTTCTTTACAAGGCCATTCTAGGTGATTTGCCCTCTTACCTATGTTCCCTCTTAACTCCCAAAATCACCAACAGGAGTAATCTCTGTTCTGATGGACAGATCATGTACGCTATTCCTCTGACAAGGACGGTTTTTGGCGAAAGCGCTTTCAAGGCTTTTGCAACCTCCTCCTGGTGTAATTTACTAGGTTATTTTAAATTGGATTATCTGCCAAGTATGGCACATTTTAAAACTAGAATTAAGGAGTTTTTGAGTACTAAATGCACATGTCCTCTTACTGAACGCTGATTTATTGTTGTGTTTTGCATACTGTAACTGTTTTGTGTTTCTGCGTGTGTTTTTTTTTATGTGGAACTTCTTGTGCTGCTATCCTGGCCAGGACTCCCTTGTAAAAGAGATTCTGAATCTCAATGGGTTTATTTCCTGGTTAAATAAAGGTTACTAACTAACTAACTAACTAACTATTTTTATCTATCATACGTGATTCAACTGGTACAATAATTCTTTTTATTATTGTTGCATATAACTGCTAAAAGGCTGTTTTGTAAAAAGCCATTTTAACATGAGAATGCCTTTAAGTGATTCAGAACATTCACAGCTGTATTTTTTTTTAAAGAAAAAGTCAAACATTTCAACAATCTGAACTGAAACTCTGATCCTCTCATCAGACTCCTTTACATTCTTAGTTGAGACACTGGCCAAATGGCTCAACTTACCCCAGAACTACTATGATGACTTCATTAGTCCTCTAAGCTAAAATGGTGGACTTTTATGCAAGGTTTTTGACTTCATGTTGTAGCTCATAGATACCACAATGGATGTATAGCACACATCTAAAATTATCTTTTTTGGTCTGAACACAATTCTAATAAAACTTATGACAGGCTAAATTCACTTTTAAGAGTGAAAAATGTTTTTTTTTTTAAATAAATGTTTAACCTCTTCACCCATGAGCTTCTAACCTTCACAGACTCCATGAATTGATGCTCATCTCCTAAATATTTGGTCATTTCATCAATTTCTTTTACCATTTCCAAGCAACAGGGGGTGGCTTAACTTGCCCTTTGGCTCAACTTATCCCACTCTCCCCTATATGACTGTCAAGAATATGAAATGTGTTTTACACAGAGCGCTCCCTCTCCTTGTATCGGCCTGTTTAACTGGTTTAATTTGACTTTATTGTTTGCTTTTATTGAGTGACGTGTGTAATTCCATTACTGTGCACGCTTTCTCATTACACCTATCAACTTTTTCCCAATTTCAGATTCAAGCGTTGTGATTGGCCCTGAGATCTGTGCTCCTCTTCTGATTGGCTGTTTCTTGTTTCCGGGGCTCCGATGTGTGCACTCACTGACGTTTCTCGGTCTGCCCCGAGATAGACTGGAGAGAATGGCTGCCAGTGGAGGTTAGCGAAATCTTCATTGTTTTGTGTACTAATCTGACTCGAATAACGCCCCGTAAAGTTGTAATTTGTGTGTTTATCTGATAGCGGAGGTTCGTCTTGTATACCAATGTGAAGTTTCATGACATGTTGCGTTCTCGTTGAAAGAGGTCCGGCTCTAAAGGACTCATCAAAAAGTGTTGGTAACCGTGAGCCTCGCTAGCGCTGTGAAGCTAATGTTAGCTGTCTGGCTAACTTTCGGCCGGTTAGCTTGGTGCCTCCAGCTGATCGTGTAAACACTTGCTTATGACAAGACATAAGGTCAGAGAAGATGCCCCCATAGTCTTTGTAATAATTAAAATACACCAGGGGCCTTGTGTAGCTTTATCTCTGTGATATAAAAACACAAAATTTTGAAGCATTTGAGTCTTTATCGTCCTGATCACCTCGTAATGTGTCAAAGGGAGCTCGCTAACATTAGCTAGTCGCTTAGCTGAATGCTAAAAGTTAAGCTTGCATGTCAACTAGCCTACGTCTCCGCGAACAAAGCTGTTACACACGATAACCATGCTCCGGATAATCTCCGTAAATCATTTGTAGTTTTTAAGTTTGATCTCATTTTTAATTTGGCCATCGGATGGCTGCTTCAGTCTCTGGGCAATGTTGCTCCATGTTAGCAGGCTAGCTCCCACCTGGCCAGACACTAGTTTCAGTCCAGCCTTTGTCCTGTCAATAAGCAGCACACAACACGAGGTATCTGTGAGAAAAGTTTTTTTCTTCTTTGACCAGGTAAAAGAAGAGCAAACTAATTGATTCGATGGGGTAGAAACTCACTATGAGATGCTAGTAAAAGAAATCGTCCAAACACGTGTGAAAAGAAACATGTTTGCTGCTGATTTCACGAGTTTTAAAGCCCAGACCGTCCGGATGGCTTGACTCTGTCCCTTGGAAAAATGATTTACTCGGCCTAAAAGCTACAAACAAAAACATGTCAATACAACAAAAGCACAAGTTAAAAAGTATTCTTTCACATAGTCCCAGGAATACAGGACAAAATATATTCTTTTAAGTGGTTTTTAAACCTACACTGACCAGCCATGACATTATGGTCACCCAGGCACTCTAATGCAATCCAATACAACAGCTCTTCCACAAATTCTGCCTTTACAGGGCGTTTAAATGTTCAGTTGTTTGTTGACATGATCAGGGAGGTGGTTTTAATACTTTTAAGAGAGTCATGGTGTCTTATATTGAAATGTTTTCCTTGTTGTTTGTCCATTTCAGTTGTAAAAATGAAGGGAGCAAATTTACTTTCAATATGATGCACTCCAGTATGTCTCCAACACTCACTACAGCCTCTAAGTATCATTGAAAGAACTGTTATCACCTGTCTGACCATGTCAACAGAAACTGTAAATGTAAGAGCTTTGTAAAGTAGAGTCTATAGTTGAGCTGTTGTATTGGCTTAAATTATATTGGTCCTATCATCTAAATACGATCATCTAAAACTCTGACATCGGCTTCTCCTGTTTTTAAATGCTTTTAAGTGTTGCCATCAACCAGCGTTTAATTAATGGAAATAATTGAATGAAAATCTTCACATCTGTGATAAGAAGGAATCTCAAGAGGCCAACAAAATTGCTGTTGATCAGCAACTTAAAGGGATATTCCGTCATAAAATTAAGTTAGGGTCAAATACACCATAATACCAAGTTAGATACCTTGTCAAGAGATGAATGTTGCCGACCGCTTGCTTCTCTAGTTTTACTAGCTTCAGTAATGACAGCACGATAGCAAAACAGAGAGCCACGCGCTCAACCAAAACGCCACTCTATAGCCACAAATAATGCTCAGAACAGCACCTAACTTCATCTACAGTACAGTTAGGGTCCTAGCCATAGTACTAGCCACCAATCATCTTTTTAACTTTGCCTAATTTCTTTAGCAAAGAGATTAAACACAACTCACCTACTCTTCTCCAGCAGCCGCTTGTTTGTAGGGAGATCTCAGGCGACTCCATTACGAACTACAGCGGGGTGACACAGCTCAAGGAAGAACATTTATGATCATTTCTGGAAATGCAATCAGACCAAGATGCTAAAGCAGATAAACTACTATCTGTAGTGCAAAATGATTAATATGGTGATTATTACTTCAAGAAAATCGTAAAAAAGTAATTATAAAGTTGGTATCACTAGAGAAGCAAGCGGTTGGCAACATTCATCTCTCTAGGGGTGTCTAACTCAACGTAACGGTGTGTTTGACCCTAAATTAATTTGTTTTATGAAAAAAATTGCTCTATATCAGTCAGATATCATCACAGGGTCCTGGTGATATCTTAATAGTGTATAGTGCTGGGTTTACATTATCCTTCAATGCTGTGATTTTCTTATGTTTTCTCCTTTTTGTCACTGTGATTTTTAGAGGTTGGGAAGCTGTTACAAGTTCAAAATGGGACGCCTCCAAGCACCAACTATAATGGGGTAGATGCTGTTCATGCCTGTAACATCCTTCAGCAGCTTAAAGCCTTGTACGATGAGGCACAGCTCACAGACATCGTTGTAGAAGTGGATCATGGCAAGACTTTCTCGTGTCATCGAAATGTCCTTGCAGCAATCAGTCCCTATTTTAGGTAAAATAACAAATTTTGGTTGTGTACATGTGTTCATTTTCTGTACATTTGAACAATAACTCATTGATTTCATGTAATTAGTTCAGTACAGTTTTAAAATGAGTGTTTCCACTAGGTCCATGTTCACCAGCGGCCTTACAGAGAGCAGCCAGCGTGAAGTCAGAATTGTAGGAGTGGAATCTGAATCCATGCACCTGGTCCTGGACTATGCCTACACATCCAGGGTCACGCTCTCTGAGTCCAACGTCCAGGCCCTGTTCACTGCAGCCAGCATTTTCCAGATTCCTGCACTGCAAGACCAGTGTGCCCAGTTCATGATCAGCAGGCTAGACCCCCAGAACTGTATTGGGGTCTATATGTTTGCTGATGCCTACGGACACCAGGAGCTAAGGGAACGCTCACAGGACTACATTCGCAAGAAGGTCAGTATACCTAGAGCCCAGGGTATGGCTTTTATATGTGCGCATTTTCTTTGTCCTTTAATAATCCCGCCAAGTGTGACATCATAAGAATTTTAATTCCCTAGTTTGTTTGAAACACAACTTAAACCCTTTTTATGTGTCTGTGGTTTTTATTGTGGCAGTTTCTGTGTGTGTCATGGGAGCAAGAGTTCCTGCAAATGACCAAGGAGCAGCTTGTTAGCATTTTAAACAATGATGACCTCAATGTGGAGAAGGAAGAGCATGTCTACGAGAGTATTGTGCGCTGGCTTGAGCACGATCTGCCTGGCCGTGAGGCCCACTTAGCTGAAGTTTTTTCCCAATGCATCCGTCTGCCCTTACTGGATGAAGCCTTCCTCAGTCGGATACCTGCACCCTTTGCTTGTGCTCTGTCTCTGTCTAAGGACCCTGCTGAGGCCAAAACCCGCCTCACTGGCACCAACGGTTGCCCACAGCGCCTGGGTATGACAGCTTCTGAGATGATAATCTGCTTCGACGCCGCTCACAAACACTCAGGGAAGAAGCAGACGGTGCCTTGCTTGGACACAGCCACAGGAAGGGTGTTCAAGCTCTGTAAACCACCTAATGATCTTCGGGAGGTCGGTATCTTAGTGTCCTCAGAGAACGACATCTACATAGCTGGAGGCTACAGACCGAGCAACAGTGAGGTGTCCATAGATCACCGGGCAGAGAGTGACTTCTGGCAGTATGAACATGCGGGCAATCGATGGCTTCCTCGTGCACCTCTGCTGAGAGCAAGGATAGGCTGCAGGCTAGTGCACTGCTGTGGGAAGCTTTATGCACTGGGGGGGCGAGTGTATGAAGGCGATGGGCGAAATGCATTAAAATCAGTTGAATGCTATGATGCCAGGGACAACTGTTGGACAGCGGTCAGTCCAATGCCAGTAGCCATGGAGTTTCACAGTGCTGTGGAGTACAGGGACCGCATCTATGTTCTCCAAGGTGAGTCAATGCTGATTAAATCTCACTGATTGACAGCAGTAGAATTTTACAGCAGTTTGCTTAAGATGAAAGTTTGTGTCCTTTTTCTCTTTTCTGCAGGTGAGTACTTCTTTTGCTTCGATCCACGAAAGGACTACTGGAGTCATCTCGCCCCGATGAGTGTCCCTCGCAGTCAGGGTTTGGCTGCCTTGCATAAGAACTGTATCTATTACATTGCTGGAATCTGCAGGAACCACCAGCGCACCTTCACTTTGGAGGTCTACGACATTGAGAAGAACACATGGAGCCGCAAGAGGGATCTCCCCTTTGACCAAGCCACGAGCCCATATATCAAGGCCATGCTTCTGCAAGGAAAACTACACTTGTTTGTACGAGCCACACAGGTCATGGTGGAGGAACATGTGTTTCGTACCAGCCGCAAGAACTCCCTTTACCAGTATGATGACGAGACAGACGTGTGGGCCAAAGTCTATGAGACACCAGATCGCCTCTGGGATTTGGGTCGCCATTTTGAATGTGTGGTGGCCAAACTTTACCCACAGTGTCTTCAGAAAGTGCTTTGAGGAGGCTGGTTTTGTGAACCCAATCACTGAGGCAGAGAGAGTTGTGTGGTCCTGCCTGCCTTGTGCCTGGTGTTACCTTTTGGTTTGCACCACAAGGACCATTTTTTTGGTTAAGTCTTAAGTCGTTCAAACATTAGTTTAACATGATCAAAACGGGGGTGCTTTTAAAAGATTGCAGTATTTTTTTTTTCTCCAGATAGCACCAGCTACCCACACTGATGCTTGTTTAACAAACCGTACAATGAATCATAAGTGCAATTATCCTATTTTTTGCTTATTGTTGAGCCATGTTTTTTCTTTCTTTCTTTTTTATTTTGGTTATTGTTTTGTGTTAGATACTTATATAGGTAGGGATTTTTACTAATGGTAAGCATGCGAGTGAGGGTAGTGGTAAGATAAACGTGTGCCCTCTGGAGATATGGATGCTACATGTCAGCATAAAGTGAAAATCTATATAAATATATATAAATAACTATATAAACTATATATATTCATACGGGTAAGATGAGTACCTTAGCTCATTAGTAGGTTGCTGGCTCTGAGGTGTGTGTTTGTTTTTTTTTTTCTTATGTGCTCAAGTCCCTCTTTGGCTTATTTTATAGACGAGTTTTAATTTGAAGTGTGCTTGTGATTTACATTACCTTAGTGTTTTCAAAGCTTGAAGCTTGTTTGATAATTCTTTTTTTCACGGGCGTCAGTGTGTCAAACAGTACACTATGTGTGGCTTGCAAGCTATTTTTAGGTTTTATTTGAGATTTCAGTTGCATGGGGTCTCATACCTCCCACTTTTTCAGTTTGCATCCATTTTCTTTTGTCACATGCGAAGACAACTTAAGTGAAATGTTAAGAGTACTCTCTCTCCACATTGGAGAAATATGGACGGAGTCAAATTTGTTGCAACACTAAGTGGAAAGTTCAGACCAACTAACAGGCTTACCTCAGAAACTTCAGAAATATTCAGTTAGGAGTAAAGGGACATTTCAGGCCATTGTGTGAAAAGCTCAGTTCAGCATTGAGCTCTGTTGACTTTTTTTTGGCGTTCGATCATAATTATTTGCAAGAGGTGAAAGAGCCTTGCTCTTCAATGCCAAATAAGCATTTGAGGTCTTGTTAAGGTTGATCTGGACACTGAAAATAATTTTGTGGTAGCAATAAGTCATGGAACTGTGATTAGGCTATATTACGTTGTAATACCTTAGTAAAAGTGCATTAATGGTTTTGTGTGCTTGTTTATGCTATTGAAAATCACAGTAGTTCCAATTACGATTGCGTGTCTGGTGAATGGGTGCAAGGTGGAAGTGATGCGTAACTTAGTGCAGATCATTTGAGATGCCAATGTGCCTGTGGCTTGAAAAAGGGGCATCAGAATCAAAAACTTTTTCTCCTGATGAAGAAAATCTGAAAAGTCTTACTCAGCATTGCACTGAATCACTCTCCACTTCAGCAGTCCTCCACTGCAAACTTTACAAAGCACCCTACAGAACAAGCAGACTATACAAAAGGGTGGCTCGGGTCATGTGCTCACTCATCCAACAGCCGTGAATTCGTTTTCACACGCCATCTCACAGAGGACACAAATTGTTGGTGCTGCTCTTTTTTTATTTTGACAATCTTGTACAGAAGAATTAATACCACCACTGAGTGGCGTTCCCTGTGAAAGTGTGACATTTTCAGTGCCGTCAATTTCCTCATGCAGGTTCCTGTGTCATCTTTGCACTACACATTTCCATTTGTGTTTTATCTTGACAGAGAATGCCTCTCTATAGTGATAAAGGTTTTACAAACCACCGAGCAATCATAGAGATTTACACAGGAAGTATTACAGGATGAGTCACATTCATTAAGGACGTAAGGATATAATATAACTTCTCCAAGAGAAGATCCACTGTTGACTGACTTTGAGTTGATTTTTTTTCTATTGACCCAGCTTGAACAATGCCCTCATCAAGGGTGAGAAAAGGTTTGAGCTTCATTCACATGTCTACAGACGGCCATTTGAGAACCAGGAACGGAGAACTCTCAGGATTTCTACTGATACACAGTACTGTATTTAAATGTTTTTGTTATGTGTAATATACTGTACTATAGGTTTGCTGTACTTGCACAGTTTTTTAAACTTCTTTTCAGTTTCTTTTATAACTTGAAAAAATAGATGTGATTTTCTTTTTGTTGTCTCCAGTGGCTGTTTTTCCATTTCTTTGTGTAATTATTATCTATTTAGTTTTGGTAGAGTAATCCTGCGTGGTTGAGAAAAATTGATTACCTGCACGAGTGCTACGTTTTGATTTTCTTTTTCCCTCTGTTGTACAGTAGTATTTCTTTGTAACCTCTCTCTGAAACTAAGCATTACAGATCAAGTAACACCGTTGTTACATCACTCTTTAAACACCAGTCTGGTAACACAACAAGCTAAAAAAAGAAAAAAAAAACTACTCCATGTTCAATATTTAGTGGCCTTGAGCTGCAATACTTCGCTCATTCTGGTCATCTACATGCATCGCTTATTGGTGCTATCTCATCGTGCTCTCCATGGATTCTCACTTTTTTGCTGGTTTGTCTGCTTTTGGGTTATGGTGGTGGTTACGCTCAACTGTGAAATTCACATTGCACATAATTTTAAAATAATAAAAAAATATTAAAGATAATATTTGTTTATGTAGTCACCATTTTTAACATGCAGTGTTATCAATTTTGTCCCACCTGAGTCTATGGGTGGGAGACATGTTTGGTCTGAATACCGGTCCCCCCACTTTAAACTGGCTCCTGGATATGGATGATGTAAAGGTTCAAGCTGTGGTCACGCCACAGTGATATACAGTACAGTACACGTGTATGTGCATATGGAAGAGAACAGTATGATATATTGGTTTTACAGCAAGCAGGGACAAAGCACACACTGCGGATGATCCTGAAACTAGTCATATCTGAGTGGGAACCCTCCCTCATACACAGCCACCAGGGTGACACGTGACCGCACAACAAATAAAGCTGCAGGCTGAAACTCAGCTGAAACTTCACTCAGGAAGGAGGGTTGTAGAGATAAACGCTCCGCGGAGACACTCAATGAAAGGTAAGAACTACTCAGACTTGTGTGACACAGTGAGTTTATCTTGAAACATTGAGAAGTCGTCGGTAAACTCCGTTGATAGTTTGTGTCACCGACATCCAGCGCTGTCCACGTGGGCAGTGTAGTATCCTCTGTGTACGAGGCTGTGTGGAGTAAAGTTAAAGTTGGCCCCAAAGCGGCTCTTTATTCCACTAACACTGTATTTCAGCAAAAAGCAGCTAGACTCTGTCGCTGGTGATTGAAGGCTTTTGAGGAAACATCTTGACAAAACACAGTAAATAGCCTGAGTTTCTCATGATAAAACCAAAACTCCGGTTTTTTTGTACTACAGTAGTCAGACAAGTTTTAGTAATGACGCTGGCGCCTCTTCCTGACACACACGCACGTGCTAAGTTTGTAATATGAGCTCGTGGTTAAAAGACTTCGCTAACATCATTCGTAGTTAATTGTTGCCCTTTATTACTTTACTTAGATATGTCAGGTCCTGTATTTGTAATGTGACAGTAAAGGCGCCTACAAGTAAAATACTACCAAGCAGTACATTTATTTTATAAAGACCCAAAAAGCTGTTTAAAATAGTGTACAGTTTATTCACTCTGCTCACCAGCTGTGTTAAACACCGATAAACCACCCATTTTTATGTTTAATGGTTATCATGATGAGTATGTGATGACCAGTAATATTGGTGTGGTGTTTTTACAATAGAAGGTTGTATAGGTTTGCAAAGATATCTCACAAAACTGATGAAACCAAGTCCAACCACAAACATCTGTCAAGCACGCAAGTGCTAATTTTGTATGATGAGCTCATACTTGACAGACTTAGCTACCATCCATTGTTGCCCTTTATCACATTTACTTCACTTACATGATGTCTGTTTCTCTTTTTGTGATGTGACAGTAAAGGCGCCCATAAATAAAAATCCAGTTACTTTAATTTTAATTTTTTCAATCATTGTTGTTAGCCTATTTTTACCATACTAATAAGCAGTACATTTATTTCATAAAAACCCAAAAAGCTGTTTAAAATAGTGTGCCAATTTATTCACTCTGCTCACCAGCTGTGTTAAACAACGATAAACCACCCATTTTTTTGTTTAATGGTTATCATGATGAGTATTTGATGACCAGTGAAATTGGCGTGGTGTTTTTACAATAGAAGGTTGTATAAGTTTGCAAAAATATATCACAAAACTGATAAAACCAAGTCCAACCACAAACACCTGTCAGAACCTCTTGTGTAGTGTTTTATTTTGAACTTTCCTCCACTCTCGCACACCCATGGTAAAGTTATTAGTTCAGCCCTTAATTCTACATTAAAATATGACTGGTACCTTATCTTCAGTCCAATATATTTGGAGTACTCTTCTTCACATTGTTTTACATAACATTAGTTACTGTTTCATGGAGAAAAAAAGAGGAAACCAACAAAATGACACACCTCTGCAGCTGATTGGCTGACATCTACCATGTGACTGTGAAAGGTGCTGACAGTCCGCTAACTAGCAGAGAAGAGCTCTCCTTTCACCAGTCAAAAACAAGAATTATGACTCTATTTTATGTTTTTTATGTATTCAGCCCTCAAGGGTTAATAACTTATTGAGAAATGTTTTCAACACTTACCTCTGTTGAAACAGCCAGCCAGCCACAACCTGATTCTTGTCAACAGGGGTCATCATGCTTGCAGGACAACTTTTTAATGCAGTAGCTGCACTTTTGCTTGAGTACACTATTTTACTACTCTTACCACTCTGGTGCATACGTTGACCATATTTCTGTTTGGTTGGTTGGTTATCTCTGTCTAAAGGTGACAACTTCTGTTTGATTTACTCAAAGTATTGTATGTTTTCTGCTCTTCAAACAGGATCATGTCCCCTGCTCCAGCAGATCCGTTGGAGTACAAACCCCTGGATGGCGGTTGGGGCTGGATGGTGGTGATCGGGGCCCACATTTCTATTGGGTTTGCCTATGCCACACCCAAAGTCCTCTCCATATTCTTCAATGAGATCCAACAGGACCTGGGATCAAGCTTCAGTGAAATAGCATTGATTTCATCTATTATGCTAGCTGCTATGTATGCAGGAGGTGAGCTTATTGAATCAATGCTTGTTAGGTTGGTCCACTCACAAGGAGAAAAAAAATCTTAACAATATAAGTAGCATCCCTGTAAAAAAAACTTTGCAAAACACCATAATAAGGTGGAAAAACGATTTGTCTCAGACTCTTCTAATTGACTTATTACTTTATTACTTTCTAGGGAAGTTGGGGAAGATATTAATCATAGATCTAAGCAAATAGGGTACAGGTACTATTCACACAAGATTAGTATAACCTGGGTACCCCAGGTTAACCTACTGAAAAGTTTTTGACTGAAAACGCAGATGAAAGCCCTTTATGTCATAGCATGTGTATGACACACAGTAAAGCAGTTTGTATTAAGGTCAGCCCCTCTTTGTTTGCAGTAGTCAGGGATATTTATTTCACAGTCCAACTAGGTGGATTTCGAGCAACAACAAATAACAGAAATGAAAAGTATGATATTTTATGTATAAGGCCCATCCCCCTTTATGAATTTTATACTAGAAGGCAATGTCATGCACCTCGTGTTTTGTTGGCGACATCGCCTGATCATACCCATGCTGTTAGCATTACACACACTTTTGAAAGATAGCAATTGTTCTCCAGAGCATGAACATGCTGCAAAGCATGTTATCTGTCTAATCACTCAGACATCCGGATCTTAAAATGGATTTTAGTTCGCTCTTTCTTCAAATTGGTCTTTGTACTGTGTAGCAAAATGATGCAGCTGAATTTTGCCATCGAACTTTCATTTAAAATGTCCAAAGCAGCCTCCATCATCTTTGACTACAAAGTGGGGCAGAAAAAAGCTACAGGGACTTTCTTAAAAGGAGTAGCCAACCCAAGTTACGGAGATGGCAGACTGAATGAATATTTCAGAGGACCCCTGCGTGCCCTGAAATATGGTATGTGATTTGGCCCAGAATTTTGCCTTTACAAGTTTTAGACTTTATTCACGTAAGATTAAAATCATAGATGTCTTTGGCAATCATTTCAAATGAACAGAGGTACCCTGGTGTTACCATTTCAGAGCAAACAGGGTTGAAGTTGCACTGCCTGAAGTCAAGATGAACCTATTACTAGTTATTAGTATTTATCTAACTGCCAGTTTTGTGATTGGTGGACAGCTGGTTTTACCTCTGAGTTACAGCTGCCGTTTGTGGGATTGTTGATTCAACAACATAGTTTTGTTGAATTAATTATGGTACGCACAATTTAAAAAGGTGAATGTTGTAAAGGACAGAGCACATGCTCTTGATACACCACAGAATAGACTGAACTAGTTTCTTGAAAAAGGAAAAAAACTCATTTTTTTCTGAAAGAATACATACTTGAACATTTTATTGATTTTTCATTTTTTGAGTGACTTGGTCACGCTCTGTAAGGCTCATTTCAAAGTTAAAAACTGTCCTCTCTTTACAGACTTAGCGTGTAATTGATTTAAAGCTTTACATCAGCATTTGCACCAAGATGTCATATGAACAGATTTCTATCATAGCCAGTAAAGATGTGTGGTAATCAGTGCGGTGTGAGGTCACACTCATCAGCTCTCTTTGCTTGAATGGCTGTTTCTGTCTTTTGGTCTCTTTGGGTTGCGTATAGTCCCCTTAGGGTTCTTACACACCTCATTCACCAACAAAATGTAATACTGATAAACGCCTGCCGATTAAACACTCATTAGTTTGTACCATATCTTCTGTTGAAATTGAACGTACCAAGAAATCTGCACTTAGTGGCTTTCTGTCTGCAGACCCACAAGCCTGTGTGAGGGAGAATAAGTGAATACTGCTTTGTTTTTTTGACTTATCCATTCACGTCTTGACTCAAGTGGTTTCTAGTTTTAGTGGAACTACAAAAGTGATACTTTCCTCTAAAGAGAGCAACTGTGCATTTTTTGACCTAGATAGATAATTGCTAAATAGACTTCACATGAGTAACTCTACTCACTAACATAGCGTTCTTAATGAAGGGAATGTCATAAACAGATATAGTGTAGCTCACATGACATAGATTTGACTGCCCACACAGATCTAATTTACTTCCAGTTTTTGCTTTTCCTCTTAACAGCTCAGGCTGAACACACAGTGTAAATTCATGCCTGGAGACACAAACTTGGCATCAAAAATAATTTGAAGATGAGTTTTGCTTGTCTTCTTGTGCACAGACCTGACATGGCATGCACTCCCCTTTTTTTTCTTTTGTATATTTGCATCAGAAGGTCAAAATGTTTTCATGACCTTCTCTCCTTTTTACTCTCTCATTGCCCGTTGATTGCAGATTAAACACGTTTAAAACATTTTGCTTATAGCTGTTTTTCAGACATAGTGATTGGAGGCCTTCATGTATACAAGACATTCAAAGAGAAGTGACAGCGTGTTATGTGAAGCACATGGCATAACTCCACATGGTAATGTGAAAAACCTGTCTGAGTTCTGCTTAATGTGTAATTTGATCAGTTGTCTCTACCTAATAGACTTCTCGTAAAGTGCCTCCTGTGTTTTGTTGTGCTTTTAAACTATCTGAACTGAAAAGCCTTCCTGGCCTTTGCTGCACACTGGCAATATTTTTTAGTTCTTAAAAGCCAAAACAAATGGTGATGCTCTCTTTCTTGGAAGGTTCAATTTATTACTATTCCAATAAAAGGACAAAGTATAAACTTTTGTCAAAGTTGGGCTTTAAGAAAGTAAAATAAACCAACTTCTGTAACATTGCTGCGTTCCAATTAGTCATTATCATAATACTGCATATTTGTGATGGCTTATTTTGAAAACAAAACAGTGCAATATCGATTCCTGTCACTGCTTTGTCTGGTTTTGTGCTTTTGAAAAGGTTCAAAGCATTTGTCTATGTCTTTGACTTTTGTCTTTGTTTCAAGCATACATTAGCATTGGTGGACAAGTGAACTTTCAGTCCAAGAAATCTGACTTGACTTATTCAAAAGCAATTTTTGGTCTTTTTCCAAAAGTTATACTGGCAAACCTATTTGTAACACCAAACATGGAAACATAAAAGTCCTAGAAAGGTTTATCATGAATCTATAAGGATATATTTTCAAGGTTATGGGACAACAGGGCTTGTGAATCACCTGCACTCAACTCAAAGTGCCCTATCTGGTGAAATATTCCTTTCCACTGTGGCTCAGGCACAAGACTTCATCATATTGTCCTTGGCAAGGCTTCAGCAATGTCACCCAGTGGAGGAGAGAGACGGGGAATATATCAGAGTAGGGTTCAGCTCACAGAGGTCTGGCACCGGGTCCCCATGGGAGGGACGTGACAGCCTTTCTGGAGAACCTCTGACTCAAGAAGTCTGAATGATGAAGTTATAATGGAAGGAGAAATGGTGGGAGAGCAGGGGATGCCCTCTTGTGACACAGCTACAGTGAGAAAGATGATCTATGTTTGACCTACACAGGCACCTGGTTAACTGTATAAACAGTGGGGGATATTTTTATTACATGTAGTGTACTTACAGCAGGTGCAGTTTTTGAGGACAGTTTGAGGCTCAGAATGTGAAGAAAAAAAGAAATCAAAGGGGGCCTTCCTTACAAGATGGGCTGTGATTGAGTTTGACTTTTCCTTTCCTTCCCCTTTTTCCTTGACCTGATTCAGTGATGAACCTGATAACAGAGATCCATCTGGGCAATGCCCCATAGATGATATTCAGGTTTATTTTTGTGTGGGCCTATTATATTTTTTTATTTGTTAGTTTCAACCAGTTTTATATCTATATGAGACAATATTTTTACGCAGAACTCTACACCTTTATTGATATTTCATTACTTATTTGTATGTGACACCATCAATGACATTTTTAATTTTTTCCGACACATCTCTACAGAAAGCACATATTCCTTAACAGTCTTTTCACGAGCTGCCATTTCTTACAAGCCCCTCACAACTGAAAATGCCTGTAGCTTCTGCCCTTTTCTCCTCAAGTGACTTTGCTTGTGTAGTCATTTTCTGACTAGGACCAAGAGCGTAAGCTTGAATCTTTGTGAGTCAGAGACGCCTGATGATGGATATGCAAACTGGTCGATCCATCCAACACAGAGAGGTCCGAGTAAATTGATCTGCCCGACTAGTTAGATGGAAGTTTCAGGAAGAGGATGGAGTTAGTCTCTTTTTTGTCTCAAAATTTTTACTTAAACGTAAACTGAAAGTGTGGGAAGGAGCATTTTTTATTTATTTATTGTAAATTTAAAAGGATAATGGCTGATTGGTTTGGAGGTTATAGACTTTGGCTACTAGTGTACTTTTTGTAGATTTTTATTAAGCACTTTGTGACAACTGTTCTAGAAAGGTTCCATAAAAATAAAGTTTATTATTATTATTATTATTATTATTATTATTATTATTATTGTTGTTATTATTGTTGTTGTTAAAGTTCATATTGACTGTTTATAGCATGATCAAGGTTAGAGACGATGTTAGCTAGCCTTATAAGATGTTTTTATTGTAGGTTAATTTATAGAGTCTCTGAAGTGGCTGACTTACGATATTTGAACAGATTTTAAGGTGGTGCAGCAGTTGTGACTGTACGGTGGTGGACAGAAACATATACCATGTATTATTACTTTACTGCAGTGCACACAGAATTCTTATTCTTAACATTTTGGGACTGACATGCTTGTCATATGTTGTGTCAATGCCATAGTGCAGCCACCCGACACTAGCTGGGCTGCATTTCTTTTACTACTATGATATAATGCTTGACTTCTTGGATGTAACCAAGCGCAAATGATAGATACCATCTTAAAATAGTGATGTTTGACAGTTTTATGTCGGATTTGTGTTACCAAACTGGCATTTAAACACTCTACTGAAAAAATGCAAAATCATTTTGCTTTGATGATTCTATTTACCAACAACCATCATTATTTCTTTGTAAATAACAGGTATGTTTAATGTTATATACATGAGTTGCTTCATCTAAAAAAACCTACAGAGAATCGTAACACAGGTACCCATCTGCAACATGTCAACGCTTATTCCTCTGGTTCTTCAGCTCTGAGTTTTACTGCTTTTTTTTCTCCAGATTTCTGCCTCAGTAGTTCAGTACAAGAAAATATCCGTTATAGAAAAACTTATCAGAATTACTGGTTATCTGTATGACATATATAACTGCAAATAATTGAACATGAATGCATGCAATCTATGAAGGTTACATAAGAAGTATGGTCTACAAATCCTTTCCTGTGATACAGTAAAAAGATATCTGTCATAGTAAACATGCTATTAAAGACAGAGGGTATTTGCAATCATCTAATCCTCTTACCGCTCGCTGGGCTGTTTTCAATTATCACCACCCACAAAACGGCCGTCCCTCCTCTTCCTGAAAACTGCAGCAATTTTCAACAATCATGGCAGCCCATATATTAGTTTGATTGATGCTTTCCCCAGTTTTCTATATGAATCAAATAAAATTAATACATATTCAAATGATTGATCTTATAGCTGGAAAAATAAAGAGGTTTTCATTATAACATGCCACCTAAAGACTTGGTGCAATGTCACTCTTTCAGGCAAGGTTATGGATGAGGAGAAGAGTGACGGCATATAAAACGCTGCTTAATTGCTGATTGATCACTGAGTGTAGAATTTGACATTATCAGGGTTGAGCTTAATGACTCACCTAGTAGCTTTGCAGTGGATGCATAAGTGTGGAGGTCAGTTAGGGGTGTGCATTACACATATGTGCAAAATGACAATAAGGAGTAGCTGTGCCACTTATCCAAATGCATGCAGAACCAAAGAGCCAAGATCCCCATAGGAGCTGGAAACTTTTGAGGCATCGCAGCATGTGTAGTTATCATGTTGGCTACAGAAACTGATGTTTTCTATACAGTGACTTTCTCATCAAATTACCTCAGTACATACTGTTTTGAGGACTTCTGTTTTTAAAACTTGGGCTCAGTTTTGTGCTCTGATCTCAAACAGTGGTAACATGTGATCATCAGTGTGTGAGCTGTTAAAGTGAGGAGCAAGAGGGGCCGAACGAGTGTGTGCACTCATTGAGTATAGATGACATCCAGTACAGTTAACAACCTACAGCTGTGTGTGTTCATGAGCATATGTTTGTGTGTGTGTGTCAACTCGACCCCTCGAAGCTCTGACATGCAGATAGCCAAGCAGCAAGAAGAGAAAAAATGCAGTAAAACCTTTTTTTTTTTAAAGGCAATATTTTTGTTTGTCTATGTGCAATATTTTATCAAGTAAATCCTATAGTCTTTGTTCTATCAGCAAAATCCCCCATAATAACAAGATGCTATTTTTGTCAATATTTAAAGGTCTTTACTGATTCCCTATGCCCTTGATTTTTACCTACACTGAGAACTTGTGTGAACCCTTGATCGCTAACTAACAGTAGGTAGCTGAGAAAAGAATAAATGTTATGTTGTGAAAAAGGACAATTCTGAACTGTCTCCCTGTCCCTCGCTTTGTTTCTCCAGGACCGGTGAGCAGTGCGATGGTCAATCGCTTTGGGAGCCGGCCGATAGTCATGCTGGGTGGACTGTTGTGTGGTGTCTCCATGATAACTGCTTCTTTTGGGACCTCCATCATTTACCTCTACTTTTGCATCGGTGTCATTGGAGGTACGGTGAATTAATCCTTGGTTAATTTTTTTCACTCTTATCCTTATTTTGCTCAATAACCTGTGCTGCAAAAGCTTCAGCCAGGCTCATTTGAGTATATCCTGTGGACACTGACCTGTGTAGTCGGTAAATGTTTAGACCTGTTGAAACGACACGATAAACCGACTTACATCATGATTTGAGTCTGAGGTATTCCCACCTTCTTATCACTCTTATCAGCCCTTGTAAAGTTTCTCCTTGACAGGGAAAGTCTGCACGTTTTTCACAACTTCTAGAATCTGGTCTAGTGTGCTGTTTATGTGGGCCCTGGATGTTCAGCTCCTGGAGAGCAGTCAAAACACCAAGGGGACCAGAACCAGGACAGTAATTAACACAGACCTGTTTCTGATCCCAGAGAGCATGGGCTTGCAGTGGCCTTCTGTACTCTCCCGTAGGCTCCCATCATGGTTGTCACATGGGGGCTGCCTGCCATCCTGTGAGGCTCATTACCCCACCAAGGACTGCTGCAGAGGATTAATAGGCCCAGCAAGTGGCTGGACCATGTGTGGGGCCTGGGGGCCTGTGTGTGCCCTGCTCTGCTCCCCTGTGCCCTGGCACACTGACACATCGGCATCAGGCAGACACACAGACACGCAGACATATGCTTACACATGCGTGACCAAATACACACACACACACACACACACAGACAGACCGACTAAAAACTAAGTAGACCCAATATTCATCAAGTGGCTTTTATTGAGCATTTATTATTATTATTATTATTATTATATAAAAATCCAGATTGAAAGTCCCCTTTTTTAATTAAAGAAAGCTATTGGATAGATCAACTTTGTTCCATGTATATTTTTGGGTTATTATCTGTGTCAGTCCGATTTGTTTTATATTCCTCCAAAATAACATATCCGTATGTTTTATCACTGAACTAGAGAACAAAGTGATATTGGTATTTAAAAGGCAGATTACAGCACCTACACCAATCTACTTGTACTGCTTCCATTTGATGTAAAATAAATTGGTATTAAAAAGTAATCTGGGGGGGGTAAAATGGCAGGCAAGTGAATGTATTACTCAGGCTCTCCAATGTGTCTCTACCTAAATGGAGAAACTATTTCTGAAATAATTCCAGGGTTCAGTAATGAGATTTTAGCAAGCAAAAGTGAATAAAATCAAATCCTAATGAGCGCCAAGCTGGGGAAGTCCTGATTTAATTTTAGAAGCACACTTTGGGGTTTAAGTTTAAGGATAATGATATTGGATTTTTAACTTTTTTATTTTTTCTTATCTACACACAGGTTGTGGACTCTCCTTAAACTTGAATGCATCTCTTATCATCATCAGCAAGTATTTCCTGAAGAGGCGTCCTCTAGCTAATGGACTTGCCATGGCAGGGAGTCCGGTGTTTCTCTGTGTCCTGGCACCTTTCAACCAATATTTGCTGGTCAATTTTGGCTGGAGGGGAAGTCTTCTCATCCTCGGGGGTCTGATGCTCCACTGCTGTGTTGCAGGGGCTCTGATGAGGCCTGTCCCTCTGCCTTGCAAACCACCTTCCTATGCACTGGAGAAGACGGTGGAAGAACAGCCCAACAGCGGGAACACCAAGCTGAAGAAACGCTTTGTGAAGAACGCTAAGAAGTTCTTGGATTTTTCTCTCTTTAAGGATAGAGGCTTTGTTATTTACCTCATCGGGAGCATCATGTTTATCTTTGGAGCCTACGCTCCCATTGTATTCCTGTCAGCCTATGCTAAAAGTCAAGGTGTGGAAGAATACTCTGCTGCTTATCTGCTCTCTATAATGGGCTTTGTGGACATGTTTGTTCGCCCTGGCACAGGCCTGATTGCCAACAGCAAGTTGGTAAGACCCAGAATCCAGTACTTTTTTAGCTTCGCCTTGGTTTTCAATGGCACATGCCACCTACTGTGCCCACTGATCAAGAGCTATGCCTTCTTGGTGGTCTATGCCGTCTTTTTTGGCATTGGCTTTGGGATGGTTTTCGCTCTGATATTTGAATGCCTGATGGACCTGATGGGGAGTCAACGTTTCCCCAGAGCTGTTGGTCTGGTCACCATCATCGAGTGCTTCCCCATGCTACTGGGCCCACCTGCTGCAGGTAACTACACGCTCATCATGCACTCTACGTATACAGACATAAATCAATCCAAGTCAGCGAAACACTCATCTGTGAATATTGAGCATGCACTTGTACTTTGCAGTTAAAGGTTTGAAGTAATCAAAGGAATTGATTAAACTAACAGGAAACACTGCTAGAAAAATAAATAGGTTTTTCAAACAAGCTCTTCTGCAAACAATTCAGCAAACAACTGTCTCTCAGTGTTTATCTCTGTCTTAGTCTTGTGCTGTGAAATATACTGCAGCAGAGCTCAGTTTCCTGCTCTTATGTCATTACTGTACAACAGAGCTGGATTGTCAATGAAGAATGAGTTTTCTTCGAGTTGAGCACAAAAAGAAGTAATTGGTCACGGGTATTGACTGCTAGAAAGAAAAAAGGCTCCACTTTGTATTTGTGAAGACCTGTATGGCATGTTTACTTTGGGTTTTTGCCTCAAAATAAATCAATGAACACTCAGAATATAAAGCTTGAAAGTTAACATGTGTATGCTTTTACATTTACTGCTTTGGATAAATGCCACAAAAGCAGAATCCCATTTTCTCCATCTGCTACGCCTGCAGGCACACACCAGTAGGAGTGAGGAGCATTTGAAGAGGTGTATTTTTTACACTAAATGATGAATGGTAGTAGAAGGAGGACTAACTATACAACAAACACAGGAATGAGACAACCTCACTGATACATCCTCTTATCTTTGACAGAGAAACTTTATGTCAAACATCAAGTAGTGGTGCAGGATATTATCGACACAATATCATTACCAAGCCCTAAAAACTGATAGCAGGTTTACTGGCAGTGAACTTCTCGGTATAACTTTAATGCCAGCTGCTTGTTTGTGGTTCACACATAATGATATTGGATGTTTGGATGACTCTACCTGCTCTCCAGTTTGATATTCAGATATCAAACTTTCACCGATAGTATGTGCATGTTGTGTAAAAAGGGACTTTTGACCTTATGTCTCCCCCCTGCCATCTCTGCATTGAGGCATAAGAACGAGAAGACAAACCTCTAAAAATATTGCCTTACTGCAAATGATTAAGTTACATGTCATCATGTCATGTTCAAAATTCAGTTTCATCTGAGTCACCAGCCCTGCAACAGAGGCTTCTCCGGCTCTGTAGCCATGGCCACATGTTGTGGTTTAGGCTAGTTAGCTTCTTCTTCTGCAGCTGCCGCTTCTTCCCCATCTTCTTCTGTTTTATAGAGCATTAAAAACCATTACTCCACTTGACTATAAACCCCTTAGTTATAGGGTGTTATCCTTATCTCTGGCATAATATCAGTATTTCAGTTCATTTTAAAAGATAGTTAATACCATTATCGGTTCACTATTTGTAACGTAACCATTTCCAGATAAGCCTTAAAAACTTGAGCCTTATTTCCAATGTTTTCCCATGAGGTCAGGACCTCTGTTATGCTGTGAATGTTATATCAAGGACTGACTCTTCATCAATGACTTTTACAAATGTTCATAATAAGGATTTATGAATATAAAGTTTAGTCAAAATGACTCAACCAGCCGTAATTTCCGCCCACTGACAAACTTTTCCTGTGCCTCCCTCCGACCTGAGTTTTAATGAGGTGGAAATTTATTGGCCCCCCCAGTTTGGCCGATGTGACCCTGTTCCGAGGCACTCATTTAATGGGGTAAATAAGTGCCTCCCTGCACATCTAACATCCTCCTCCAGAGGGCACAATCGTTATGTCTCCCCCAACTATCCTGCTTGTTACTGCTCCCCCAAACCTCCGGGTCAATCCAATTAGGAGGAAGTGAGGTAAGTGTGTGTAATTAGCCTTTTGCTTTGGGTGTTTAATGACGCTCAGTGCAAATTCTCTTTGAAGTCCTGTACCTGGGCCATAATTAAGCTATGAATACATTAAAAAAAAGAGGTCACCATGCCAGATGGACCTAATTACCGTCCAGCCAATCAAGGACTGCCTTAATGAGGGTGATGGTCATTGGCGCACACACACGAGATGAACGCTATCAATCAGATGTTACAGCCTGAGTTCAGATGTCTGAACTGATTGAAACACAAGGGGTGTAGAGCAGTGCAGCACATGCACAAACATCGTTATTACAATTGTTTATGGTCAAAATTGTAATCAGTTTATGAAATAAACGTCTATCAAGGAAATGGACTCTTAATCAATTAGAAGGTAATAAAACATGTCTGTCGATGGTACCCTAATGAGGCCCACCAGTAAGAGTGGAAGACTTTGAAAAGGTTAAAGTGAAATAGATCGACCCAGGTTGACAGAAATAATTTGTTTTCTGATCAAAGTCTGCAGTTTGGGGACAAAAATCGGATTCTATGTTTTCCATTTGATAGCATGTTGAAAGCTTTATTGCTAATATCGGTGTCCTCATGTTCCCAAAATGAGACTATTTCCGGTCTTGAGATAATTTATGTTTTTAATTTTTTATTGAATAAAGTAGGGAACAAAAGATAAAGCTGAATAAAAAGGGAAGAGTACAGTGAGTGGGGTGACAGACCACCGTCCATGCAGAAAGTGAGAGAAATCAAAACACCCAGTGGCAGATATCTCTGTAGTAAGGGGGAGGTTTGAAGTGCTGTGACGACTCTGAAAATACCGGAGGGTCAAACCTGATCTAAACTACACTTGTCACTTTTCCTGCAGAATTGGGCTCGGTATTTATAGATCTGGGATGAACCTTTCTTTGGATTCGTTTTGGTGGCACCGTCCAAATTGCTCTCCCCAAGAAGTTGGGGGAGCCAGGACGGGTGAAATAGCCTTCTGTCGTTTCTGACGTGGCTCTACTCAGATTGGCCTCTCACTCTCTTACATTCACAGGAGCCAAGTCTGAGTTTGGTTTCTCTCTTTACCTTCAACTTTGATTGGGGGCAGAATGAGGGCTGTATTCAGCGACAGTTTAACACATTTTTAAGTGTTGTTTTTGTTCATACAGACACAAGGAAGCACAAAACAGAACTGATGCTTGTTCGGTTGAAATCTAATTTACTCTCTCCCTCTCTGCACACAGGATTACTGGTCGATGTCTATCATGACTACAAGTACCTTTTCCTCATGTGCGGCTCAGTGATCTTGACTGGTGGGCTTTTCCTCTTTGTCATGAACATCTACAACTACCACATGCTGGATAAAGAGAGGCAGAAGCAGGTGAGAGCCTCTGAGGTGGAGATGAAACTCACCCCTCAGGCTGGGACGGGACAAACTGAACCCGAGGCTAAAGAGAGGAACGTAGCTCTCAGAGATCCAGAGAACACCGAAACAACAGATTAATGTGAATTAAACTGGAAACACTGCTCAAGCACAACGTGTAACTTCAGATGAGGAAAGCTGAACTAAATGACACAAAGATTGTGCCAGTCAAACATTAACCAGTCGTAAGCACTGTAGAAATGTCAAGCAAATATGGCAACAATGCTGGTCATTCCTATGTTCCCATCTGCCACTGTTTGTCTGTGTAGTCAAAGTCACATGTTTCATTTACACCATGATAGTTGCACTAACACACTTTTCAATTATTTGTTATTTTGCCTCATCAACCAAACACCCAGGCCTAAAAATATTGCTAAATCAAAACTTACTGATACTGTGCAGATATAAAGTTTGCACAGTTCTGCTACAAAATGCATATGAGCCAGATGGTAATGCAGTTGATGTTGAGAGTATTTTAGCAAAGTATTTAAATCTAGATCTGCTTGGTGCTGAATGAAAGGTCCGAGTCTCACCCAAAACTTAGACGACATATTATTTGAACCATAATGAGATGACTAAACAACTAACCTGTCAAAGTTTCTTAATTTGTCATGCTGGTAGATTCTTAAGTAATCTACCAGCGTGACAAATCATGAGGTATTTAACATACAATGGTAAGTCCATGCATAAATGTAGTTTGTTTGATAGGACATGCAACTCAATAAAGCATCAACAGCCATCATAAAAAGCCTTTTCAAGTATGGATTTCTGGCTAATTACCTTGAACTTTGATCAGTAGTTGTCAGGATATTCATCTCAGAACTGTCTTTGACATTAGCATGTAGTCAGAAGACTCCGTCAATGGAAATCTGAATTAATCAATGGTGGCCTTTATGGACATCTTGAATGGTACTAAAAAGTTCAAAGTCGTACAGGATGAAAAACACAGAGACCATAGAGCTCAGATTGGCCACGGATATTTAAGGGCTTGACATGTTACTGACGATCGATTTCAGCCGCCACATTTATCAAGACCCGATCATACATATGCTGGGATTGGTCAGATTCAAACCCTTTCATACATCTCACATGTGTACTATCGTAAGATGAATCCTGCACTCAGATCTGCACTCAGTTCTACACAAGATTGATAGATGAGGGCCGTTATGTATTAATTTTAACAAACTCAAGAGTCAGTGATTAAAGGTCTCGAAAATTTGGAATTTCCCCTTGTGGACTAATAAAGGAATATCGTATTTTATCTTAGAAATTAAACCTTAACAAATACACTTTTTTCTGTATAGTGTTCTCAAAGTGTTAATTTAAGTGTTATTTTAATGTTTTTTTTACAAAAACAAATCTACTTCGTTCTTGTACCACTGTGAATAATAGTGCTGAGTTTGCATAAGTGCGACATGGGTTAAAAAAAGCTGCACACGTCCCTCTTTGTCATATGATTCCTCATTGATTCCTAACTGTCCATTTCAGGGTTTTCATACTAAAGCAGTTTATTTGTTCTTTTGCAACTTTGCATTACATTAGAGTATTTACACTATGATCATAAAATAAAGTTACGCATACAAAATATGGTGTAGCTTCCAGTAAAAAGAAGAAAGAAAAAAAACATGTCTCACAGGTTTAAGTCTGTACTTTACCTCCTCTTTCTTCAGTTGTGCACATACTGTAAAATAATGTTACTGTTGAGTCAGATTGACTAATAGCTGTTTTCTAATTTACATCAGAAAATACTGTCTTTAATTTTTATTTCAGTGTTTTATTTTACTTGATATGATGTCACATTTTTTAACTAATAAATATAGTACCTTAAGTTCTTCAGGAGTGTGTTACCTTTTACATTGACATTTAGTATTGACATTTGTTATTTGAGTTTGAATCGACTGTTGCTGATTTGATGCTTTATGTGCACGTTAGTATGTGTTGAGAGTGCCTGAAAAAGTGGTTACGACAAATGGTCTAAAAATAAGCTATCTAAGCTCTACATTCAATGGGGATGGCACCTCTCTGAATTCTGTTAATGAATATTTTCTAGTATTTCTCAATTGCTAAAACACATTTCTTGACATCCACCATGCTTTTCTGAACACTATAAGCACCAAATTTTAAAACTACATTTACCAAACCTCTGACTCTTCCTGCAAAACCAAACAATTGCCTCAAATCATATCCCAAGTCAATAAAAAAAAATCAAAATTAAAATCAATACTGAGCAGTCATTACACACTACATAAACAATGGAAAGCACAGTGCCCAGGACATTAAACTTAATAAATTATTGTTCACAGTAGGCTAAATGAATTTTGAAAAAAAAAAACAAAAAAAAGGTAAAATACTGTGAAAATGAACATAAATGAGAAGCACATTACAGTTCAAACCACAATATCAAACATCACATCATTAGCCACAAGTGTGATCAGTTTTGAGTCGTGTTTAAAATGTGCACAGTGTGTGTTTTAGTGAGTGAGAATGTGTTTGCAAGTTGTGTCTAACCAGGAGAAAGGTGCTAATGGTTTTGCCAAAAGAGTGACTGATTTAATTAATGGGTTCAGGCGACCGAGCTTTTGATTCAGACAATAGGGTTTAGTGTTTTAGCAACTGAGAAATACTGCGATAGAGTTTTCATCAAAGGTTTTGTCTGACAGATACAACTGTGTTACAATTTCTTACAACCGCTTGATATGTGCTGATGATAAAATGGTGAATTGTTCACCTTTTTTAAAATGCTGTTGTAATTTATATTGTGTTTTGTGTCATATTTCCGACTTTTTTTTTTTTTTATTAAACCTTTGAATTGTTGAGAGTGTCTTTGATTCGAGCAAATGGATATGATCAAGTCTCATCTTCTTCTCCACTCACGTACTGTGCAGCTCTTTCTATTCCATATTCAAGAAGTGAACTAAGTGACACTTTAACATGGGAGAAAATGTCGTCAATGTCGGTGGCTGTGTCCAATTTTTCATGACAATTAGAAGACTGGGGAGCAAGTTTGGAAATGTCAGCAGCTTAAGGGTGTGAGCACCTAATGAAGCAGGGCCCGGATGTTCCAGGCTGGTGCCCTGAGCTGCATGAAGCCTCTTACACATCAGCAAATCTGCGGGCCAATAAATTAGAAATGCACGTGCTAACACACATACACTCCCACTTTTGCGCCCCTGTCCTTTTCCTTGGTATCATGCAAGGTCTTTGGACATGACAAGGTGGAAAGGCACCCATGAGACAAAGCCCATGAGTGCAGTGGCCAGAGATAGGTTTATCATTCTCATGTTTCCTGTCACCCTTTGCTCCTATCTGGCCTGCTGACCCTTCTTCCAACAATGTGCGTCCCTCTGAGCTTTGTCCTCTATGCTCAGCGGGGAAAAATACTCATGGGTCTCCAGAGGGTCTTGGTGGTTGAGAGAGTTGAAAAGTTGCAGAGCAGAAGATCAAGAATTCTGAATGATATGTATTTAGTGGAACAGTCTGCTTTGCTGTGTTGTAATTTTATTGTATCTTGTCATGATTAGATTTTAAGCTTGACCCTCTGGTGGCTTAAGATGGCTGTTTGCTGATGTGTTCGGTCTTGACTGAGGTTTCTGCCTCCATCCAAGTTTTTTCTTTGACACTGTAATTAGCTTCCTGTAAGACAACAGTTTTATAATGACTTCAAATTACAATGTTTGATACTAGTCATACATACATGAATAACCGCGATGTGGGTATCCTATCTGTGTGGCAACACGAAGAAAATGCAGACTTCAATTTGTGGAAATATTCTCTATCAGAAGAAATTTAATACCCGTGGCTATGAGAAGTTATAGCAGAGAGACTAATCTGCATTGAGCGATGAATTTTGCAACCAAAGAGGCCAAAATAAGAGCAGCTGAATCTTTTAACATCATGTCATTTAATGTTATCTCAATAATGGAAATTAGTGTCACCAATTGTATTGATAAGTACCAGTCTTGTGATATCTACAGCAGTGTTACTGAAACCTTGATGTAACAGCTGTCAAGTACTTGTCTGTGGATTGATACAATATTGGGAAAAATGATCATTTATTATGTTTATATTTATTTATTATAAAATGGCTGATCTGTTGATGGAGTTACCGTAATATTTCATAGTTATTCTGTTATCAAACTGAAGCCATGTTGTGTATTTCTACTTTGAGATTTATAGGAACCTCTTTGGTAGTGTAAAAATCTTTCCTTTTGCTTAAGAAGCTTTTCCACCGTGTTTGTCAGTTCTTTTTCATAAAATAAAACAACAAAAAAAACTTCTCAGCAGTATATTTACTTGCTTCAAAGGTTGTTGCTCACGGACTTTTATTCAGTCTCAAAATAGCTTGAAACTCACTAATTGGCACCCTTCAGTTCATAAACAGGAAGAGAAGCTGTGATCCAGTTTCTTCATCTGAGTCATCTTTTAATGAGAACCAGAATGAGGATGTATCCCTGTATACTGGCAGTAATCGACAGCTCTCTGTTACCTGTCAGTTCTTGTTAAACAGGGAGGCAATCGGAGAGTGGGTTGGTTGTAATTGGATATCACTCTTCAACATCTCTCTTAACATTTGAGTGGATCAGCTTCTATCAGTAAATTGAAGTCTCATCTCTGGATGTTATCAGCCCTTCCCTGACCTTTGCATCGGACAAATCAGACCCTGCTTGTTTACAATAGAAGACCAACCTGATGAATCTGGAGTGGTCTTTGAGAGGCAAAGACTTGGAGGCAAGCAAGAGGGAAAAAAAGTGTGCTTCCAGAGGGCTCAAGAGCACTGGCGTCTATCAACAGAAGAAATTGAATGGGATGTTTCAGAGCAGCAGAGATTAGATGGGCCCTGGGTGTTGAGCAAGCACTGGCTACCAATGAAATGCTCCCCTTGCCCAAGTGACATAAAACTTGCAGTGTGCAGCGAAGCAAGGGCAACCGAACACACATGCACACTTTAATCCACACACATTGAGCATCCTACTGTGGCCTTTCAGTTTGATGCTAAGATTTGATGCTTCGTTATTTGCTCTGGGAGTACACTGAAGGATATTGCCGTAACACAAGAGATGTGTTATTTCAATATTAGGAACGACATGTTAGCTGTTAGTTAGTTATGATTCCCACTGGATTGACAGAATTAACACCCGATTGAAAGTTCATTAAAAAGGGTTTAGATGGTAGGTCTTAAGATGATTATTTGAAGTGTTACAATACAATGGTGACATTTGTTCACACATTTCATAAGTTTGGTTTATCTCACAGACTCCAAAACTTTACTTCAAACAGAACCTTGACTATGGAAAAATCTACATCCAAGGATCTGGTTAAGTGAGTAATTAAAGCAAATACCAGTCAATCATTGATTGATTGATATCTTTATTTCGATCATGTAAATGAAACTTAAAAACTGTTGAAATTACAAATAAGTGACGATCAGAAAAAAACAAGAGTAGCTGAATCTGCGATCCTCTCATTTTTGAAGCCCCTCATCTTACATGAGTGAAAAGGAGTAGGAGTAAACTTGTCTAATCCTACACCCTTACATTTTGCTTTATGCATAATGCTGTCTTAAATTAACCATAAACACAATCATACCAATTTTATCATACCAATCTTTACAAATAAATAATCCAAATAATCAACAAGCATCTTGTGGTGATCATTCATCAATGTACCCCTGGAAAATCATTCAGCTTTTAAACTGTTCCTCATCTCAAAGTTGTCCTCAAGTTAATCTCTGGACTCCTAATCCAATCTGGGATGAGTCCTAATTTCCAACAACCTTAATATATAAAGTTTCTTCAAACATGCAGAAATCTTGAGCAGAAGCAGACTCACTGGTGAAAATAGAAAAACAATTAGATGTAGAAACAATCAGACAAATTTTTGAAAAACAGTCTAGATCCCAACATAACATCACCTCCTATCTCTCCACTAACTGAAGAACATTGCGAATGTGTAAGGAGACAAACAAGGAGAAAGACCACAAAATGTGGAGGAACTGGAGCAAGAAAAGGTTGTAGAAAATAAATAGAGGGTGTATAGTACTTGAGGAGGTATTGCTAACTACCTTTCCATCCATCATCCCAGTTTCTGTCCAGTCCACCAAACAGGCAAGGTAATGAGAGTAATTTAATGTACATCTATAATTGATATGTTCTCTTTGGGAGGTATGGTTTGCTGGAATGAGTGATGGAGTGTGTTTATTATGTGTGTGTGAAAGAGGTGGCATGACCCGGCAACCGGCTGCTGACATTGTAATTCACTAATTCACGAGCCATCTTCTCTGGTAGCGCTCAGGTCAGATTGGAGTGGCTATATGGGGCGCTCCCACAGGTACAGATAAAAAGTGGGTTTTTGTTCTTTCTTGTCACTTTTTTTCCTCCTTTCTCTCTGGCCCTCCTGGAGAAAATTGGAGAAAGGAGGCGCAGCACGTAGCAGCGCCCCAGGCCAATGTTCTCCCTCTATGTGTCCTGCTCTCTCTCTCTGTCTTCCTTTACCTTACCTGTCCACCAGTCTCTCCTCCTACTTATTCTCCCTTCTTCTTATAGCCCGAGCAGCAAACTCCCTTTCTCCCTTTCTATCTCTCTTTATTTCTCCTACCCCCCCTCAGAGGAAACTCACTGAATGCACTTCAGGAGTTCCTTTTTCTTTTCTTTTTTTTTACTTTTTAAAGGCAGACTTCTTTGCACAAACAGTTCAAACCCGCCTGCCCTCAGTGCTGTCTCCTTTTGAAACTCGATGCTCTTTGAATACCATCTGTTTGAAAAGAATGCCCTCTGCATTTCTTTTACACTGGCACTCAAGTGCACTCACAGGCACTCTTACACTGACACACACATGCGCGCGCACGCACACACACACAGGGGGATACTAGATATAATAGGATTTCTTATAAACATACAGATATTTCTCAGTAGTGAGTGTGCTTGTTTTCCACTCTAAGTTCATACTACGTCATTGAATCCCTCGTTCTCTGTCAGTCTATGTAGACACAGCCTTACTCCAGGTAGCCATTCACCCTACAAGTGGGCACTCTTGTTGTTGTCTTGAATAAAGCTGCTAAAGAGTGGGCGGGCACGATTGTTTGACCACAGAGAAACAAAAAAGGAAAAAGAAAATCTTCATTAGTACACAAGAACTTAATATTTGAGATACAATATCATCACTCTAATACATTTGAAGGGTACACTGTCCTCAGGTTTGAGGGCTTTTGTGGCAAATAAACCAGATAAGTAAAAACTATGTAGAATCGGAAGTATAACAGCTGCAGAGGCCTGAAGAAGTAACTCCAACACTTAATAGATAATAATCTTAATATAGATGGGCCAGCCTTAGTAAACATTACATTGCACAGATACAGAAAAAAGTCACAAGCTGCAGCTGAAATAATGCATTAACAGACACGTTTCTGTGGCATTATGAACCATCTATCAGTCTTTACCATAATGCATACTGTACAGAAAGAGCAGGCCTAAAATGTGCTTTTAGCTACTTATTCTACAAAAACCACTTAATCGTAATCAAAGCACTCTGCAACATAAAGCAAAGTGACAGCGTAATGTTTTTTCTTCAAACGGGCAGAGACAAAACCATTTCAAATGTTCAAGCACCATCATTAATGTTAAATTTCACTCTGTTGTATTTAGTGGAATCAAAATCTCACCAAAAATTTTCTTAAGGTAAAAGTCTGTTATCTAATTGTTCCTTCAGGATTAACATGTACTATCTAAGTGGCTTCAGTCTGATACAGACTGTGCCTTGAAACAGGGGTCCCTAAATTTTGTCATGCCATGGTCTCTGATATAGAATTGGCCCCTCAT